CGCGCATTTGTTTGTATGTTAATTATCAACTGACACTACAGTATATCTAAATTGACACTGCCTCACGTATTATTTTTATATTATCAAATGAAACTGCAGTTATATCAAAATGATACTGTAGTTGTGGTGAAATGAAACTACAGTGTATATAAAATGAAACTGAATAACATTTCACATATTTGAGTATATATTGTACAATGAAGCTGTAATTATATCAAAATGATCATGTAATTGTGTTTTAATAAAACTATAGTGTATATAAAATAAAATTAAATAACATTTTCACATATTTGAGTATATAAAATATCGTATGAAACTGTAGTTATATCGAAATGAAACTGTAGTTGTGTTGAACTGAAACTGCAGTGTAAACTAAATGATACTGAATAACAGAGTTACTTTTTGCGAAAGCGTGCGGAACAGCGAAAAACGGATGCCTTTTCTTTTTATTAAACAAAACGACATCGTTTTTATACGCGATGCATAATTAATTATGCACCGCGGTGCACGATATAATTTGCCCACAGGAACCAAACCAAAAAGTGGTAGACAAGCATGCCTACCTAAGGCAAATTATGCCCTGGACCCGTGTCCACAATGCATTGTGGACACGAGTCCAAAACGACGTCGTTTTCAGGGAAAGCGCGTCATTCCAGTTTTAAAAAAAAATTGATTTTGTCTCGCCATTAACGTTATTCGTTTGTGCCATTATGAATGTACAGTTATGAGATTATAAATATACAATTATGGAATTATGAATGTACAGTTATGAATTATGAATGTAAGTTATAAAATTGTGAACACAGAGCTCTAACATTATGAATTTACAATTATGAACATATAGTTATAAAATTATGAACATAGAGCTCTAAAATTAGGAATATGGAGCTTCGAAAACTATGATTTTACAGTTATTGAATTATGAATGTGCAGTTATGCAATTATGAATGTACTGTTATGCAATTATGAATGTACAGTTATGAAATTATGAATACAGAGCTCTGACAATATGAACTTACAATATGAACATATAGTGATAAAATTATGAACATAGAGCTCTAAAATTATAAACATAGAGCTTCAAAAATTATGAAGTTACAGTTATTGAATTATGAATGTACAGTTACGGAATTATGAATGTACAGTTATTGAATTATGAACATATAATAATAAAATTATGAACATATACCCCTATAACGAAGCGGCCTGAATTTAAAAAAAAAAAAAACAAACAAAAAAGTGGAAGATAACAGTGCCACTAACGGCACTGTTACCCGTGTCCAGCATGCATGCTGGACACGGGTCATAGCATAACGATTGGCCTACCTAACCCCTTGGCCCAAAACTACCAACTTTCCGACAATCTTGGGCCGTACCCATCAAATTTAATCATTATTGCATGAACCGTGGTTCGTGTGGATCGTGGTTCAAAAATACATCAAATTTAATCATTATTGCATGAACCGTGGTTCGTGTGGATCGTGGTCCAAAAATACATTAAAGTATATTATTTTAACTTATAAAATAAATTATTCTAACGAGCTAATACTCAAAATTATCCTCGACTATAATGGTTTTTCTCAATTTTGTCCTAAACGACTTTGGTGTCATAAAGTATTCCCAGACTTTTGTGTTATTGCTTAATATTATCCTCCGTTAGGTAATCCGTTAAAAGGGTGTTAAGTATAGGAATATTTTAGTAATTTCAAATGAGTTAATACGTAAAATTATCTTTGACTATAGTGATTTTTCTCAATTTTGTCATAAACGACTTTGGTGTCATAAACTAGTCCCAGGCTTTTGTGTTATTGCTCAATATTGTCCCCCATTAGGTAATATGTCAAAAGGGGTTAAGTACAATGGGTAAATTAGTAATTTCAAATTTAGGCCTTCCATGCCCTTATCGAAGGAGGAGCCGAAAAATCGTCACGCTAGCCGGCCGCGGAAGCTGGAAGGCGTGGGCATGACGGATAACGAGGGAGGAGGAGGAGAAAGACAGCGAGAGGTAGAGTGACAGTGCGGCGGCGGCTAATTTAGTTCTCCGGAGACTCACCTTGGTGAGTAAAGCTCGTAGAAGAATGTATCCCGGGAGCACCTTTTTTTCATGGCCGGAGCTCCGGCTGTTGTCATTTTGGAATTACAGTAGTAAGAGGGAGGAGGAGAGAGCGGAGTGCGGAGCGCGGCCCCGTCGTCGACGAAATCTGTGCTTGGGAATTCCTGGCTGCAACTCCTAGACAAACGACACGGAAACATCCCCGTAGTAAACCGTGCAAGAGGAACGATTCGAAGACCAAAATTTGAAATTACCAATTTATCTTTGTACTTAACACCATTTTGACGGATTACCTAACGGAGGACAATATTGAGCAATAACACAAAAGTCTGGGACTAGTTTATGACATCAAAGTTGTTTAGGGCAAAATTGAGAAAACTCACTATTGTCGAGGACAATTTTAAGTATTAACTCATCATTTGAAGTTACTAAATTATCCATGTACTTAACATCCTTTTAACGGATTACCTAACGGAGGACGATATTGAGCGATAACACAAAAGTCTGGGACTACTAATTTATGACACCAAAGTCATTTAGGATAAAATTGAAAAAAACCACTATAGTCAAGGGCAATTTTGTGTATTTACTCTTATTTTAACACATAATGTACATTATTCTAACTCATAAAATATACTTCCTGTCCCATTTTATGTGTCTGGTTCAATTAACGAGGCTTGACTGAAGTTATTTTTAATTCAATTTTCATAATATTAATTTTATATTAGTATTAGTATACAAAATTTATATATATTTAGAAATTACATTAAAAATATTATTAAATATGATGTACACAGAAAAAGAACAATTAACATTTTTAAGAGGTTAATCTTAGGTTTTTGTTGACTAAATTGTAAAATGTTTATTTTATTTACGTTTCTTTTATTATAATCCACCTACATAGTAATATATTTTAAAGTAATTATAATTAAAATAGTTTTGTCATTTAATTGATTGATTTATTATTATTTTTTCACTTGATCTTCTGTTAAAAAAATAATAACAAATAAATAAATTAGATCTAGACAAAACAAAACTATTTTGATTACCAGGACTATGTGGTCCAATGGTACTCGGGTTGGACTTCCATTAGGAAGGTTGTGAGTTCAAGCCTCAGTGGAAGCGTGTAGGTTGTGAAAGTATATGAACAGATACTACAATGTAATAGAGCTAGCAGCATTCAAAAAAAAACTATTTTGATTATAATTATTTTAAAATTTATTACTATATACAGTATTTGAAAATATATGATTTTTTTATATTATCAAATAATATACATTTAATACACAAATAATGTATTTTTATTATATTAAAAATGTATATTACATTTATGGTCAACACAATAATTTACCCCGCGGTGAGGGGCTAGACCACCAGGATGGTTGGCGGGGACCCGAGTGTATTTTGCAACCTGTTGCATTGAGGATGGTTTGGCAAAAATCTTGACACCTGGTAGGACACACGTGTAGCTGAGGAGCACTTTGGTCCACCTATTTTCTCATAACCTGTAGGCTTGATGGTAGTTTAAAAGGGGGAGGGTGGGGGTGTCGTCTAGTTCATACATTGTGATCATCTCTTTCACCTTGACTTCTCCACTTGGTCTAGTAGGGTGATCTAGCAAAGTGGTTTGGACCTCCCAACCAGTTTCCAAGTGGCTCAATTTGTAGACGGGGTCAGTATAAAGCAGTCGTTATATTATAGACCGCGGTGCATGTACACCGCGGTAAAAAACGGCGCCGTTTCTTTAAGTAAAGAAACGGCCCGCCGTTAGAGTTAACGGAGTCCGCTTATTTGGTGTATTAAACACCAACTGACACTATAGTATATCTAAACTGACACTGCAGTTATATCAAAATGATACTGTAGTTATAGTGAAATGAAACTGCAGTGTATATAAAATGAAACTGAATAACATTTCACATATTTGAGTGTATATTGTACAATGAAGCTGTAATTATATCAAAATGATCATGTAGTTGTGTTTTAATGAAACTATAGTGTATATAAAATAAAATTAAATAACATTTTCACATATTTGAGTCTATAAATATCGAATGAAACTATAGTTATATCGGAATGAAACTGTAGTTGTGTTGAACTGAAACTGCAGTGTATACAAAATGACACTGAATAACAGAGTTACTTTTTGCAAAAGGGTGCGAAACGGCGGAAACTAACACTGTTTATTTTCATTTAAAAAAAAAAGACGCGCGGTGCATAATCGATTATGCACCGCGGTGCATAATATAATTTGCCGTATAAAGTTGTTATACCATGATGACGTATAAATGGTGTGTTTTTACATCAAATGTGACCATAACCGTCTCCCCTGGTTCAAACTCACCACCTCTCACATAAATGTGCAATTTTATTTTCTTATACTTGTAAGCATTCAACGTCAAGTTTCGAAGATAATATAAAATGCTAGATTTCAGTACAAAATTAATGTACTTTTAGTACTTATATTAAAAATATACATTATATTCTGAGAATGTACATTATTTGTGTACTGAGTGTACATTATATTGTATAATGTACATTCAGTACACAAATAATGTACATTTAGTATATTAAAAATGTACTTTTTATTATGGTCCATACTATAATTTGCCGTTAAACAGTTAATATATGTGTATGATTAATTAGCTTTTTGTAATAGCTTATTGCTTCAAAAAATTAAAATTTAAAAAAATGTTCAAAGCAGCTTTTTAAGAAAGTCATTTAGCATATAATAAACTATATGCAGCTGACAACTAATTTACCTAACATTTTTCTACAATAAATTAATGTTATCAATACCAATCAACTAATAACATCTATTACCAAATACATCCAAAGTATGTTATATTTCATGTATCAATCTCATACTCTTTATTAAATCATTTAAATGCAGACACGTCATGGCAAGAAACTAATGCAATGCAAATTTATTTTCATTATATATTGCAATATATGCTTACATCTGCTAAAGAAGCTTTAATTTATTATATCATAATTTTTGTTTATTACACTAAAAATAAATATTCATTGCAATGAAATTTTAGTCATTACAGTCAACAAAATCGTAGTTGACTATGAGGTAGCCCTGAGCAACCCCTTGTCCATCTGTGTCCAGTTGATCAAATACATTGACGTCCAAATCCAGCCCTCCATTTGAACACTGATCAACGATCCTCACCGTTACTTGATCATTGGTGGCAGTATTAGTAACCTGACTCAATATTTTAATAACATGCAAATTCAATTAATACATATTTATATAAAAATAATTTATTTAGATTTAGTTGTATTACTCTAGTATTAATAAAGATTGGGGTGAGCAAATGGCCAGTCTAACCGATTGAAAAATTCAAAAAATCAATAGATATTTTTACCTTTATAACCAATCAAAAACTGACCAAAAGTAAATATTATAACTGTCTAGGGGTATAAATAAGCCGAGCAGCTCGCGAGCCACTCGGTCAATGCTCGGCTCGAACTCAGTCAACTTCAAACTCGAGTCGAACTCGAGTCGGCTTGTTTCGTAATTGATCCGAGTACGAGCTTAAATATTTTAGACTCGTGGCTCATTGAGTCCCCCCCCCCCCCCCCCCCCCCACACACACACATACACATATATATATATATATACAGGGACGGAGCCAAAGGGGGGGCAGGGGGTCAGCTGTCCCCTCACCCCACCTCCACCCCCACCCTATATATAATTTTTGTATGTATATATAGTATATGTGTTAGTATTAGTAAAATAAAATTATTAAATGTCACTAGGTGTTGATTTAGATGAGTTGGTTGAACACATGTTGATTTATGCTAAAAAATAGAGGTTCGAATCCTGAAAATAATATTATATATATAGCCGATCGACTTGCTAGCCGCTTGGTTAAAGCTCGGCTCGAGCTGGAGACTATCTATTATTTATTGAGTTCGAGCTTGACTCGGCTGCCCAAATAATTGATTTTGGATTTCAGTCGGTGATATCAATCAATTACTAAAAAATTGAAAATTTACTCTATATTTTAAACTTAAAAACTAAAAATTTCAAATATGCACTAGTCCAAATCTATATATTGTGAAACTTAAATCATACCGCCAAACATCTGCCACAAGAATCCTGGCCTGTTGGGCCGACAGGCCCACAAAAGGCAGTCCATCCATACTTTTGTCGCCATTCAAGTGGCTTGTCGGCATCCCAGGTGGCGCAGAAGACGCTCGCCGTATTATAATCCCAATCAATATTTTGAGGGTTGTAATTATTATACGTTGCCCTCACGTTGGTGGCGCTCTGTGCCGCGGCATCGGCCGCCATCGCCACCACCACAAGCAAACAAGAAGCGGCAACTCTCTTCATTTTTGTATGTGCTTTAATTGTATTACTACCAATGTGCTGTATGTATCTCCTTCTTGGGTTGGGTTGTATTTATAGACAGGCCGAACGAGAAGGAAACATTTTGGATATGCATGCATGCTCTAAAATAATAAAATAAAATAAAATTAATTATTACAAAGATTTTGTTCTTATAATCCATTTGAATAAGTCTATCCTCAAGCCGTAAAAGGAGACAAAGAAATTATTTAATTGAAACTCTTTGATATAGTATACACTTTCGTCATACGTCACGTCATTTACTAATTTGAGAAAATAATAAAAGAAAAGAAGAAAAAATAATGAAAAGAAGAAGAAAAGTGATTGTCATCTAACACTAATTGGAGTATGAATAAATGCATTATACTCCGTATTACTCTATTTAGTATGTTTTGATCGGTTGTTTTTATCATTGATGTTACTTAAAGATGAAAAGGGCAATGATGTTTTTGGGTGAAGAAAGGAACCCGCAACCATTATATGAAAAGGGCAACCGAGGCTCGCCTGGCTAAGCTCCTGAAGTTGACCGCCACGGGTGTGTCAGATTATGACCGGAAGGTGTGGATTAGTACCCGAGACCTAAGGTACAAAGATTACCTCAGCTATTTGCTGGGAAGGGAAGACGGTTTCACTTCGACAACAAGGCCAATTAAGAAGTTGTTAACCGCAGAACAAAAGCTGATAGTCTTGATTGTGTCAGATAGTCTGTTACCCACTAACAACAAGAGCAAAGATGTGGGAAGCCTAGAGTGCACCTTTGCCTATTTTCTTAAGAATAAGGTCAAATTCAATCTACTTGCTCTCATGCTGAAACATATGGAGTTCTGCAAATCTAGCAACCGGCTTAGTTTACCCTACAGGATGATCCTAAGTTGGATCATGGATAGGAAATGGGTGGACGTAAGCCAGACCAAAGTCAGGCCCATGAGTGGGGTGATTTTCAATGCTCAAAACCTCCGCCACAACGACATCTATCATGTCGGAGAGGGACAATACATTACCCTCGAGGAGATTTTCTTGAAACCCCCGGCTGAACAGAGAATGTTAGTGGAACAGTTGGGGATCTACCAAACAAGAAAATGAAACAAGCAAGCGAGGAACAAGAGGAGCAAGACGAAGAGGATGAGCCAAGCCAGCCAGAGCCCGCACGGGAAAGAGGGAACGCGGGGGACCGAGACGAGAGGTTCACCAACGAGTGCATCCTCGCGCAGCTCTTGAGGCAAAACCGGATCATGGAAGAAGGATTCTCGTCCTTGATTCTCACGAAGAGCTCCTCGGACAGAAGAGTGTTGGCAATCGAGGCTATGCTTGGCGCGCGCGGAGCTTCAAGCTCAGGAGCAGGAAACCAAGGTACACCTAAATCTCAATCCTTACTTGCCTTCTGACTTGATGATCAAAATGCCCACCCTACGCTTATTAGGAAACAAGCATATCCAACATTTCTGTAATTTAACGATAAGACTGCATCATAACCGGGAACAAGGGGAGTGACATGTGTCTAAGTTTCGGGGACGAAGCTTCTTGTAAGGGGGGTGGGGGGGGGGGGTGTAACACCCCGTGTTACAGCCTCCAAATCCGGATTAATTATGGAGTTAATTCCGTTAATATATAATTTAAAAGGAATGAATTAGGCAAGAATTTCCTTAATTATTAATTAATATGGTCCACAATGGACCATGGACCCCCTGCCTAGCACAACCTTTAATCCCGTTGGGGATAGGGAAAGTGGACCTTTACTATTCAGATTCCAATTAGGATTCCTGAATCTATATATAGGGGATTAGAAAGCATTTAGAAACCCTACCACAAATAGCTCTGCCACCCGAAATATTCTCTCAGGTAATCTAGCAAAAGAATTCCCTCTACCGAGCCTAGGGAGAATCAATTGGAAGGAGATCTTAGAGATGAACCTTAGTAGCCAAAGAATTTTATTAAGGGCTAAGAGGTAACCCTTGTCTTACAAAACATATTTTCCTTGCTATTGTTTATTGATTGGCTCCGATTGAATGATTGATTGTGTGATTTTGTATGTATATCTTGTTAGATCTTGTCTTTAGGTTTATATGGTGAATTATTGATATTATTGATATTCTTGATGGCCATGTGTGGCTATTAGTTTGATCTTGTATTTAATTATATCTAGAGCTTGTCCCTAGGGTTTATATCGTGAATCTCGTTGTTGTGACGTTCTTGGTGTTATTGGGTGGGTTTATGCATGCTCGGGTGTTGATTCCATTTTAGGACTTGTCTTTCGGGCTTTGCATATAGATCTCTTGGTGTTCTTGAGATTCTGGATGCTCCTGAACCGTTATGTGGTTGATGTCGAGTCTTGGCATGCTTAGGAATCGTGTTAGAACGTAATTGTGATATTTCTTGGTTTGATCCTTGTTAATTGAATCCGTGATGTTGTTGTTACATGTTGGGATGTGTTTGGACATGGTTTTCGGTTCCACGAACGAACACTGAACCGAATATTTACCTTCGTACCAGTGGGGGCTAGGTGGGGGAAGTGAACCCCCGCCACCTAGCCGCGGCCTGACTGCCTGATTCCAGCGGGCAGTCGACTGCCTGCCGGGCACCCGCTGGAATGTGATCGCCCACCGATAGGTGGGCGGCGGGTGGTCCTCCACCCGCCGCCCACCTGCTGGAACGGGGTGGCGCGGCGGGTCGTTTTCCCCCGTTTGTTATTTCCCCGTGTCCCGGTTTGCCTAGTTGTATCCCGTTCGATGTTTATGGGTCTCGTATAATGTTGAGTACCGTTCTAGGAATTTATGTGACTATGTGTAGTGTGTATCATTGCTATTATGCCTTGATTGTTATTGTTGATTATTTGTTGTTTGATTGAATGATGATGGGTATTGTGGTCATTGCGCAATGATGGTTGAGATTGATGATGATGAGATTTTGATTGGTGGAAATAAATTGTTGGCGGATAGCACAACGAGTACTCGGTTATCGTGCTAAAGACACGAATCACCCCTTAGACTTGCTGGCTAAATATATATATTTATTTATTTATTTATTTATTTATTTATTTATTTATATATGGAAAATCATTTTGAAGTCAGAGGATATATATACTTATGAGACTCTAATTTAAAACCGAGAATAAACTCAACAAGTAAGGATAGGCACATTCATCAGTTATAATTACGCATATAAAGATACTAGCATACACCCTAAGGTCACAAGATTATTTCACATCAATTATATCAGTATTCGATCATTATCTTAACAGGTAAGCACACTTTAGTGGTGCCGCAGGACCAATCGCATGCCCATACATGAGGGTCAGTGCATATAGCTCTGACACGGCCCCGAAGCACCCTACCTTGTACCGCAGCACAAGGGGATTGATCGCAACCAATCGATGAACCGCAACTCATATAGTAACGTTTGATCGCAACCAAACGGTGGACCGCAGCCCAAATAGTGTGTATTTATGATTGCAACCAGATTATGGACCGCAGCCCTATATATATTTATATACCTGACCGATCACAACCGGCTTGGTTAACAGCCGATGGTTCTCAACCCATTCAACTGCCTGTATAGCCAATTGATCGCAACCAATTGGGTTATCATGCACACATAACACATAGCCAAGCACATGCAACCCATATTAACACATAGAGAGGGGGAAAACATATATATAAAACTTATGCATGGTCAACCACATTACTAGAGATACGCCTATGGGGTTCATGCATCTTCCTCCTAGGCCAACGTGATACCAATTCGACTAGCATGCAATACACAAGACTCTTTTATCCTACGAACGGTACCCGAAACATCAAACTAGACTCAGGCACGACAAACGGGGTCCAAAGGGGACACCACGGGACACGGGGAAACATCATACGGGGAAAATCACCATATTCCACGTTGGAATTTCCAACGGGTGGCCGGCGGGTGGAGGACCACCTGCTGGCTGCCCGCCGGCGGCGCAACACAAGGCAGCGGGTGCCCGGCGCCTGCCCACCGGCTGCCCGCTGCCGGGCGGCCTATTCGGGCAGCGGGTAGGTGGCGGGTACCCCTGCCCCCACCTACCCCCACTGACTCTTATGTAATAAATTGGTCCCGAGATCTTTCGTGGAACCCGAAACCATGCCAGACACATTTAAACAAAAACGACGACACCACGTAATCAAGTAATAGATCAAAATCAAGAATCACATTAAACACATCCTAACACGACTTCTAAACGTAAACAAGACTTAATTTCCTTAACATGCAAAATCCCGCCCAAATATACCAAGAATATCACAATACGAAATTCACGATTTAACCCTAGGGCTCTAGTCATATTTAAAGCACAAGATCATAATTTATCTTAAAATCTAGAACATCAAGATTATCACATAAATATCAAGATCCTCTCATAAACATCAAGATTATCCCCTAATCATCATAAAAGCCTTATCAAGAAACAAGCATAGAATTGCATATCAAAGGAGCCAAAGAAGAAGATTATAGCAAGGAAAATAAGTTTAGTTGAGACATGGGTTACCTCTTAGCCTTAATTATAATCCTTGGCTACTAAGGTTCTTTCTCTAAGATCCCTTCTTCGTGATTTCTCCTACTTTTGGTGATAGGGGAATTCTTGTGTGGTGGAATCTATTGTGGTGTGAATTCTAGGTGCCTCCTATGTCCTTATGTATATATCTAAGAGTCCTAACTGAAGTCTGAATGGTAGGGATTTACTTATTCTATTCCTTATATGACTAAGGGTTTGGTTTAAGGATAAGGGTCCATGGTCTATGGTAGACCCTCCCTAATTAATTAAGGGAATTCAATTCTTTTTTAAGGGTAAGTAATTAGATAATTAGTTTGGGTTAGAGGCCCTAACACGAGGTGTTACAGGACTTGTTAGTGGTATGTCAGTGGGGGCATGTAGTTGCCCGGAGGGATAAGGGAGGCGATATAAGGGTGGCCTGGAGGTACAGGTTGGAACTGATATAAGGATGGAGATGAGTAAAGGTTGGAACTTGGTATAAGGTTGGAAGATG